TCAGAAAAACCAGGGACATAACGGGAAAAAGGACAGGATCCTCTCTAAGCTCGATTTCTGTCGCTCAGTCGTGTCCGGTCTTCGCTCCTTCCCGAGAAGAGCGCGGGCCCACATTCCCGACCAGTAGCTGGTAATCGAGCCTAGGTCCTCTCCATCCTTACAATGTGCCCATCAAGTTTCTGAGGAAATGCGTCCTGTTGTAATATTAGGAAAATGATGTTGTCAACAGATAAAGATCAAGCCGGGGGAGGCTGCGGATCTACATGATAAAAATAAGGCGATGGATTAAAAGAAAAAGTAGAATTAACTGAACAAAATCAAATCACGTGGTTGGCTTAATCATCAAATAATGCTTGCTATTAAATTTCAGGAAAAAGAAAATCAACCTCCTTATATTCCGCCACTGGAATTTGGAAGAAAAAGAGAAGTACCACTCTTGGTAAGAAAGTTTCTTTAAACTTAAGTAAGAAATTGTCATAATTCCAATCAAAATTGTGATCACTATTATAACTTTAATAGCAATAATAATAATGATGATAATAATGATACTGTTGATAATAATAATAATGATAAATATAATAATTCTCATTATTTTCACCATTCTTGTCAATCTGCACTTCCCTTGCACTTTCATTTTTAATTTAAAGAAAACATCCGAGCATTTTCAAAGCTGATGAAATGTTTCCTGAGTAATATGCTAGAGGACCCCTTAAACGAATTAAGTATCGTTAGAACTGCCCGTGAATTTTTCTTTTGGTCTGAGTTCACTGTTATGTTAAAAGATTTTTCAGATTGCTCCACGGTGAGTGCTACTACTGTTACGATAACTACTATTATTTAATGTTATTTAAATTCCAAAACAACGCTCGGGTCAATAAATTATGAAATGCATCCGCATCATGCGATTTCTTTTACTTATTACAAGCAAAATTACGATTTGCGCTCGCGCTTTTGATTATTTTCAGGAAAAACTACGTTTACTCCGTGAAGAAAGGGATGAAAAGAGACGGTTTTAAGTAGTGAAGCAAAATCCCAGAGGAAATATCAGTTGGATGAACCGATTCAAAATGTCTGCAGAGCTATTTTCATTATAACACATTAATAACACATTAACTTAAATGCGGTGCAAATAATTTGACACATATGTTCAAAAAGCGCTCTATAGTTCATGTCAGTAATAATATCGTTGACAAAAAAAACTCTTTGTTTACAGATTAGGTTCAATAAAGATAAAGTTGTCCATATTTGGCTGTCCCTAGATTCTTTTTGTTAGTGCCATTTCCAATACGTTGATGAAGATCTCTTTGGCACCCCATCCTATGGTCGCCTTTAAGAGAAGATGCTCAGTGAGACAGAGGAAAGATTTAATAACTGACATTCCTTTGACTATAGTCAAGTCGTTGGCACACATTATGACCAAAATAATAAAAGGATTAAAATATTGTCCTTGGAGCCTTACAGCTATGTTAGTGTGACTTCGAGTCCCTCTATATCCAGTTTAGCCATTGGAAACAATCAAGCCTCGTGGCATTAGGCGGAGACATCCGCGTCCAGTTGATACATTCGGGGGGTGGAGACACGGGGGGATTTGAGTGCCGTCGAGGAGTACCTGTGTTATGACTTTCGCGTTAAATGAAGGAGTTTGGATGTCGACAGTGTCTGTGAACACTCGAAGATCTTTTAAAATCACTTACCTTTGGCTTACGCCTGATTTGCAAAAAGCTTTTCTCGTGTTCTCAAAACATCTTGCGTGGGTTATTACGATGGCAAACGGAAAGAAAGTGCGGTCTATTGCTTAAAGAGATACTCGAGATTCGAATTCCTCTTTTCAGCGCGAGGCCCATACATGCACGCGCAGTAAATCGTTTATTTGCTGGTACGTCATGAAAATACGTTTGTTACGTATGCACGACGGATTCAGCAGCGAGTAAAACGAATGAGCATGGCGGATGATTTACACAGAGCGTCGCTCCTTTTCCAGCTCTTTCTTCACGGCCTGTGGATGAACACAATTCAGAGAGCAAATAGTTGGGTCAGAGCTCACCCTTTGAAGAAAAACAAAGTTGAAAACCTAAAGGGTACTTACTTCTCGGAAAGAAATACTTTCTTCGATTTCAGCGACTTGGAAATCGGCAAAGACAATTGTGAGATCTCTTGTGGCAACCCTCAAAGCGAAGGAGTCCAAGACCCGAAAGACGGTGCCGCAAAAGAGTTTCCCAAAAAGAAAAAAGGAATGATGTTCAGGAAATATAAGGTCAATTTTGAGTTGAGCGACAGACACGCTTGGAACGAAGATATCAAAGGAAAAGATACAAAGCAAAGACGAACTCGAACGCTGAGACTCTTCGGGTCCCGATCGACAAAAGGTTCCAATGTAAATGACGATTTCGCCAAGCCCCTTCTCTGCAAAATTGATGTAAACAAGCTTTCTTTCCTTCCTCCAGTGGACAGCAAGCAATACCACCAAAACTGAATTTTTATGACCAGAAACACATTCCGACGATACCTTTAATCCATCCCTGTTGAGTTCACCTGCGATCTACTTGTAACCACCAAACTTAAAGTCAACTTCATTTCAGCTTATGATACCCTCCATGAATGTACCCTCCATAACTTGTAATGACGCAAAACAAACCTTGCCTACAGATTCAAACGAAGTTTGAACAAAGTTTTGAACAAGTAAAAGCAGAAAGTATGCATTGAAGACGTGTGGCCGAAATATTAAGTAAAATGCTGTCCTCAAAGCCCTGTGCCAATGGAGGCAAAGGGATGTGAACGTTTCATTTCACGGCCGAGGAAGCCTAAGGCTAGAACAATACCGGCCTTTCTTTCGGTGTCCACTAGTGACAGTGCAGTTTTTTGTAACGGGGCGAAAAGTTACCTCAAATACTTGAAAAAGATGAAAGTGTGCCACTGATCGATAATTATATATTATGACTATTTTTCTTAGATTAAAGACCAGCTGTTCCATCTCTGTGTTGCAGAAAGACACTTTCTTGAACTATAAAATATGGCCCAAAATCTCCTAATCGTGTTATTTCCCCAAAACACGTAATCTTTTTAAGTACAGATTTCCAGATGTAACAAATCTGAAAAAAGTCAAACTTTGGTATGGTATAACTGATAATGTAAAAGCAAAACACCGTAAAAGTCACCAATCGGCAGACCATGAACGAAGACTTAAGGCTCAATCAACGATTTCAGTGATTCAATCGACCATCACGAATTATGTTTATTTCAGCTTATTTTAAAACATTTTCATTTTTTTATTGTCAACCTGTTGCTTAACAGCAAAAAATGAGTATGGTTGAGTCTACTTTTCCATTCATCGGTGGTGAACTGCTCTCTAATATTAAGATAACTTGCGCAAATTGCAGCACATACACCTCTCAAATGGTCAACTAAGCTATTAAAAAGTCGATGAATTTTTGAGAGAGGAAAACTTGTCAGCGGTATTTACGATCTCAATATAATAGTGCCTCACCAAAAAGATCCATGGTAATTTCCATGTAAAACCATTTACGCGTAAAAAATCGTTTCAAACACCCTTGGCCAAAACGAGTCCACGGAATTTTCCATGTACACATAATGCTCATTCACGTAGACAAAACAGTACCAAAACGGGTACATGGAAATATCCATTAATACTCATCTACGCGTGAAAAATAGTAGTTTCAAACATTCTTGATCAAAACGGGTACATGGAAATATCCATGTAATACTCATTTACCCGTGCTAAGAAGTTGCTTCAAACATCTATGAACAATTTAAACGCGGGTACATGGAAATTTCTATGTAATATACTTTTACGATTTCAATGTGATAGCGCCTTACCAAGATGATCCATGGAATTTTCCTCGTAATACTTATTCACGAATACAAAACAGTATCAAACATTTCTAGCCAAAACGGTTACATGGTAATATCTATGTAATACTCATTTGCGCGTAAAAAAAATAGTTTCAAACATTCTTAAACAATTTAAACGCGGAAACGTGGAAATTTCCATTAAATACTCAATCACTTCTACGAAATAATTACAAACATTTTACGCTAAAGTGGGTCCGTGGAAGCGTCTATGTTATACTCTTCTGATATCCATGTGTGCAACAAAAAGTATCAAACATTCTTAAACAAGTGTCTCAATAGGGTAATGGCTTTTACGGCTAACGGTAAATTTCTTCCCAAAGAACGGACGATAAAAATTTGTCAATCTTTTTGCATGACGTCTAAATTTGTTGGCCTTTTTACGGCTAACGTTTAACCCCATTGAAACCCTATAGATATATTGATAAATTAAAAACTTTCACTTAAACAAGTCTTTCGACGAAGTGATCATAAATCTCCATCCGGTATAACTCGTCTTGCTAGGAAATATATATACCCGTCGTTATCTTTGGACCCTGACCCCTCGCATGCCAAACGGTTCACGGCTACAGCTTCTCTCCTAAAACAAGAAACAGGCCTCTCGTTATCACATACGGATAACGAATTTGTGTTAAGTTGAACGGATGGTTTTAGGCAGGAATTTACTGAAACACATAAAAACAAGAAACAAACTAGTTATTACCCATTGGCATTCCTAAAAGTTGTTTTAACTGGAGATAACTGTGACTTACTCGCTATTTCTCAATTCCTTCAGGAATTCAGTAACCGCACTATGGCACAGAAAATACATAACTTGCATAACATAAATATATAACTGCTGTCAAATAAATAGATTCTCGGGCAAAACTGCAGTTTCGATTCTTTCTGAATCTCTTCAATTGCCTCCTAACAACGGATTTGTCAAGGAGGAATTACAGGAGTCGCACAGGCCCGCAAACACTTTTTAACTTTCGAAGGAACGGCAGCAGACAGTGAAGTTCCATTAAATTCAACGTTTATTCACGCGATCTTGCTGCTATCAGAGATGTTCACTCGACCACGACAGGATGCAAATGACTTATTTTTGGTTTTACGACCATAATGCAACGCAATCAGAGTGCGCACACCGCCTGCCCTGCGTGGGATCAGGGGAGCGTGGCCTCTAGGAACGAGATTCCCACCGGGTGTGCAAAAATGGAGGACAGCGAAAGCAAGAGGCTTTTGCACGATGATAATATTGCCAGTCCTGATAGGCAGAAGGATATTGAAAACAAAGAAATATCATCATCGAACGAAAGGACATGCAAAGTATACAAGAGGCGATGGTATGTGCTTTTCGTGTTCGCGGTGACCTCGATGGTATCGAACATGATGTGGAACACTTGGGGTCCTATCCAAAGATCATGTCGGCTAGTGTTCGGTTGGGAAAAATGGACAGTTCTATTGCTGTCGTCGCTGGGAGCGATCGGTCCTATCATGGGTGCTTTTCCTTCAACGTGGCTGATGGATACGAAAGGTATTTTGCTCCTTAAATTACATGCAATTAAAAATTCAATAGAAGAAACCCTTCAGCGGTCAAGAAGTTGCAAACCTGTGTTTTCGTATGAATTGTTTACAATCTTGCGCCCACATGTAGAGGTGTTATAATCCTTTCATCGTTTACCAAGGAAAAAGATATTTAATTTTGAGATAATAGGGAAAATCATCGAAATGCCAAGCAAGACTAACCCGACATAAAAGCTGAAAATTATGTTTATTAGATCCTTCCACGGTTTATAGCGGCCATATTGTTTGGGGGTCAAACAAAACCTGACTTGGTTACAACTGACGTTGCAGTCTTCTTTTGATACTTTAATCGACGCCGCTTTTTGGGTGACTTACTATTTGAATGCTCAAAAGGAGTCAAAAAAAGAGTAGGTATAGGGTTACTTACAGAAGGCTTCCTGTCGAAAATGATTAGAGCAGGCGACAACACTCTCCCTTGACTTTCCTATTGAGAAATCTTTTCTTCCCTTCTGAACCTGTCGAGACCATGCTTCAATCAACGATTGCTTGGGCTTGTGGAACGATAACTTCTCTACATGCGAGTGGATGACCCATTTTTTCGGATATCTTCTGTTGTTGTTACAACCGCCGACACAACACTTATCTCCAAAACCCATTTAGCCAAGGGTTTCTCTTTGCCGAGTTAATTGTTTTTCAATAGTATGTTAGCCTGTCTGGACGAAAAAGTTTTAAGAGCACGTAAACATATTTATTTCAATTTTTCCTCTGCCCAATTAAGTTACTTAATTACAAAGAGTCTTTCGAAAAAGCAGTACTGTGCCGGACCTTCTGGCATTATGCCAGCCGCGAGGTCACGTTCTAAGAAAACGATCCCAGTGTTCCCATGAAAGGCAGAGAAGGAAAAGTTTTTCGCCTAGAGAAAAAAAGGTCACTCACATTTATCAATGTCTTATCTTTTTTAGTGATGGATATTGATTCTTGTTCTTGAACAAAGCAAAAATTAAATGAGGGTTGCAATGCAAGTCTTATTATCATAAGAGATTCTATGGCTCGTTGCCTAGCAAAGAGGTTTTGTTTGACCCCCAACCAATATGGTCGCTAAAACCGTGGAAGGATCTAATGTATTTATGAATGTTAGAATCCCTTTTGTAATGTTTGAAGAGGGCATAAGTTACCAGTAATTGGATCCTTGTGTTTGCGAAAAGAGTTCTGGGATTGCCATGGGCAAACATTGTAACTCGCTCTAAAGGAACGTAAGGCGAAAGGTTGCTTTGATGCCCAATAAAGCAATTTTTGCGAGAGATTATGGCTTTTTCGCTGCAGTTTTATCATACATGGATAAAGATACGTTGGCACAAGGGAAGTGTAAGTTTTTGTTAAAATTACCTTGAAACGTGTTATAAAAAGTACCAAAAAACTCTCTCCTTGTTTAAAGTCTATTGTGAAATTGTCATTGCATAATGGTCTCAAAATATTACAAAATTAGCCAGGAATAGCTTGGAAATAACTCTTTTAAGTCTTTTCAGTTGTATTTATAAAAGTATAGCCTGTTTTCATGCTTGTAAACGTATTTAAGGAACAAATTATGATGTTTGAAAGTATACCTCCTTTAAGGAGAGAAGTCGTTGTCCATGGAGATGGAAATTATTTTTACCAGACTGCTCTCTGAAAGGATGAGATAAGTGATGAAAAGCATAAGGAAATCCCTCGTTCAAGTAATAGTTTGTTTGAGAAAAATCCAAAGGTCTTTGAGCTACAACTTTTCTCCTCGAACTCCTTGGAAGATCTTGTCAGGAAAACCAAGATCATGGGAACTCTGTCAGAAACTGTGGACTGAAAAAAAAACTTACATCTCCCTTGTATTAATATTACCTAAATCTATTTCTGATAAAAAAGCTACAAAAAAGCGAAAATCTCTCACTAAAATCGTTTTTTTGGACATCAGAACAACTGTTCGCCATACATTTCCTTTTAGTGTGTTGCAATGTTTGCCCCATGGCGATCCCAGAAATCTGTATGTAAACACAAGGATCCAATTACTGGCAACTCATTCATTGCTCATTTACTGCCGCAACAATTTTGGTGAGTACATAACCGAGTTTAAAAGAGTTTTGTCCTCAAGTTTGTGTAAGTGTATGGCTCCCTCAAAAATGTCAATATCAATGTCATTGTTCTTAATGTCATGCTGAACTTTTTTAATGTTCCTGGAGCCTCTTAAACTGAAAAGAGCAGATTGCAAAAGCACAAATGAAACTCGAGCTGTTACCCAGGAGATGGCTGTGGAATATTGCTCTTCTTTCTATGAGGCAATGACCTCTGCTACCAGTAATCTACAATGAAACCTGAGGCATTCTTTCCCCATCTCACCCATTGTCATAAAAACCAGTGGAGTGAATGTTCCCTGTTCCACATCAAGTACTCTTCCAGAATACTAGTGCTTCTTCTTGTTCTCATGTATTTGATAGACCTGTTGGGGTTCCATGTTCCGTTATGAGTCAGAATTAGGGTGACTAACTCTCACATCAAAGAATGCCGCAGGATGACCTGGTCAGTGTAATGACATTGGTATCAGTTGGAGTCCTTTAAAAACAGCATCTTTCTTTCCTTTTCAAACCTTTTATGTATGTCTACTGTCATTGTGATAATTTTTGTAAAATTGATGCTTGTTATTGGCAAATAGGAAAATATCAATTATTCTCAGGGAATCTCCATATCAGTTTTGTTACTCAGCAAAATAATTATTTAAATTTCTCTTCATATTTATTGATTTTGATCAGATGAGGATTTTATTGATTCTCAACACTGGGCTCCAAGTCATCCATGTATTGACATTTTCTGAACAAAAGAACCTAATTGGACTAATGTTGAAAGGGAAGTTGACAGACTTAAGAAAAAAGGGGGCCTAGACCATTTCAGGTCCTCTCTCTCAACTCTCCACAAATTATTTTCATTGTAGAAAATTTTGTTCCTCTACCTTAAGTGTTACATTTCTTTTTCAGCAGTTCTTAAACCCTTTACACCCTAACATCAGTATACATATTCTCCTTACTTTTCTATATACATTTCTTAAGGTGCTGACAACGAGAATGTGTTTTATTATAGAGAGCTTCTTTAGTTGGTGATCAATTTTCCTTATTCTTGTGACGTTAATGTATGATTAGGGGTGATAATATTAAAAGGAGAAATTAGGTGCCAGTCACTCTAAGTCAGGACAAAGGTTTAAGCCTTGTGAAAAGTACATTCCTCTAAATGCATTTCTGTTAATTCTGTACAATTTATTATTTTATTAAATTTGATTGTTATTATGTCTTCCTTCTTTGCAGGATTAAGGTTATCTGTTCAGGTCACATCTGCAATGCTTCTGGTTGGAAAAGTAATTCAAGTGATTCCTTTTCAAGACCTCACAGTAAGAACTGTTGTAATTTTCATTGGCCATCTTATAGCAATGCTGCCAAGCTTTATACCAAATGGAGCCCCACCCTTGGTGTCAACAGCTTGGTTTCCTCCAAATGAACGCACAACTGCTACAGCCATTGGTACCCTGGCCGCTAATTTTGGAGTTGCCCTGGCTTTCTTTATTGGACCCACAATGATACCCGAGACAAATGATACCTTTGAGGGTAACAAGCATACTTTGACAGACATGGATGTTAAGTTCATTGAGGGCAGACTCATGGATTACTTCTATGTACAGATTGGAATTGCAGCATTTCTTTTTTTGTGTGTTACCATCTATTTTCCTTCTAAACCACCTCTTCCTCCGAGTATAACACAATTAACAAGAAAACAAACCAAAATTGGATATGTAGAAGGAATTAAAATGCTGATAACCAATTGGTCCTATTGGTTGTTGATCTTTGTTTTTGCAGCATCATTTGGCATCTATTTTGGTTGGTCATCAGTTTTAGACCTTGCTGTTCAGCCTTTTAAAATTGATGAGAAAACTTCTGGATTGCTGGGAACTGGTGGAAGTTTAGCTGGAATTGTTTCTGGAATTATTATTGCAAGGTAAAAACCTTGTTTTTGTAAGGTTATATTTTATTATTTACAGGTTATTCTGGTTCTGCTATTTGCTAATCTCAATCCTTTCAACCCTACCGCACCACAACACTGTTACATGTTTCCTTGTACTGCATTTTCCACAAACTTTAAAGATTGTCCATGACTGTGCCTTTTCTTTCTCAACATATAAACAAAAAGACACATTTCAGGAAAAGCCCTCATAATCTGTTAAAATACTACTTTATGAGTTGAGCATATAACAACCTTTACATTCCATGCTGCCATGCATCCTCTCAGTAAGAGACTTGCATTAGATTAGGTTCAAATACCATATGGTAAGGGATAGAACCAGTAGCAAGTGTGATCGGGATGGGAAGGGGTGAAAGGCTAGTAGAGTAAAAGCCAAAAAAAAAAGTCCTAGTAAATTTTGAAGAAATATTTTTAATCTTAGGTAGATAAAGAAAAGAAATCTTGCACTCTCTTTGAAGATTTTCACCCCTTATCACTTTTTTAATGGTACAGTAAACACCCGCGTATAAGAACCTAGTGATTTAAGAACCTATTGGCTGAAATTGGGCATTTTAGTACCCAAATACATAAGAACCTATTTAGGCTGGCAAAGAACAATAGGTTCTTATACAAAAAAACACTCTTATTTTGTAGCCAAAATACTGGATTTTAATTGATAGAAATTGTGAAATTTCTGAGAAACACCATCAGAACTTATATTTGATTATTTTCAAATTGGTTCAATTTTAATTCCCTAAATTGGGTTGTTATTTATTTTTGCTGTTTTTATTTATATATTTATATTGCTGTTAACAATTTACATTATTATCAAATACAACTGTAAATATGGTAGCCTATGATACTGAATTTATTATTGTTCAAAAAATAAGGCTTGGCATTTTTGCTGTTTAAAATACAAATGTTCAACCATTATGACATACTAGTACTACAGTAGTTCTCTGAATGGTATCACTATGACAACTCCTACAAATAAGAACCTACTAAGAACCTAATCAGCCTGAGTTCGGAAAAACTACCCCAAAATATAAGAACCCATTCAGCCTGAACCCAAAAATTCTAGGTTCTTATACACGGGTGTTTACTGTACAACAGGAGGGTTGGAATCTCTTTATGTTTAACCCTCTAACTCCAAGGTCTGATTGTTAATTCTCCCCTCTTGCTGCTACACAATTCCCTGTGAATTAGTTACAAGAATATGATGTAGGATCAAAATAACAACTTCTTCCTGATGAGTTTTAGTATTCTCATTAACTGTTTGCTAGAATACATGTGGATATCATAGGGAGAAGTTACATGTTAATCACTTCTGGGAGTTAACCCCCAATGTTTATAATGCCTATAATTATATGGCAAGAGAGTCCTGAGGTGAATCCGAACATTCTGAGTGGTTTTTACTCGGTTGGGATTTTTTCATTTGGACTAAATACAAGCCAGGAAACAGTCATAAGCCTTCTACATTTGTTGGTAAAAGCCAGAAAATTCAAAAGAAACAAGTTTGCTACTTGTGTCATATAATTAGATACTTCCTAATCTCGTTTGCTCTTGCTGTACAGGGTAATATTGGCCCTTGGTCATTTTTGTACGGTTCTTGGGTAGTAACTAAGTCGGTAACAAAGAAGTTAATTATTACAATTGGTTATCTTTTGTCACAAGTCTCTTTCCTTTGTTGTCAGGTCGGCAGATATCGTAAAGTGGTGGACTAAGGAAATCCTTGTGGGTCTTTTCACTGGCACTACTATAATGCAGCTGATCTTCACTCTGACCTGTTCACGAATCTTGCCCTTTTCCCAGGAGCTTTTATTTGCTTCAATTATCTGCAGTGGGTTGTTGTTTAACTGTACAATTCCACTTCTGTTTGAGCTTATTATGGAGTGTGTTTACCCTGTGGGGGAAGGGACATCTGCTGGCATAGGCCTTGTTCTGGCTAATACAGTGATATTTGTGTTTGATGCAGCCTTCATGTTTCCCATGTCTAATGTCCAATGGATGAACTGGGTTAGTGTAGGTGGCATTGCAGTTTGTGTTCCTCTGCTTCTAGCATATAAGAGTCAATATCGAAGGCTTGATGTGGACACTGATTGAATGAACCACCATCATCCTAAACTATAATCAGTTCCTCCTTTTTAGGAAATCCATTGTGCAAATAATTGATGTTGGGGCAGCACTTGGAACTTTGGAAGTGAGATGCGTGCCTTAAACTTTTTAATTTTTTTTTTTCGACTTACCATAAAAAAGGGAAAAAGAAGGATTGTTCATAGTCTACTGTCATCCACTCAGAAGCTGCTTTGATAATTTTATAGTGGTTAAAAGTATTTTATACATTACAATATATTTCTCAATATTTAATGAAGATCTTAGGGTGGAAAAGTTGAAAATTGAGTTTTCACATAAAACAACTTGGTAGAGTTAACCCATGGGCAAAAATTTTAAATTTTTTTCTTTTGGGTCACTTAAATGCATGATGGAAGGTACAAAGTACCCAGAGATTTGGTTGATCTATTTAGGAATATTTTCAATTTTTGGTACTTACTAAGTACAAGTGAGTTTGGAAACAAAAATGTATTTATATATTAATAACTATTTTTCGATATTTCACGAAGACCTTAGGTTGAAAAGTTGAAAATTGAGTTTCCACATAAAACAACTTGGTAGAGTTAATCTATGGGCAAGTATTTTGATTTTTTTTTCTTTTTTGGTCACTTAAATGCATGATGGAAGGTACAAAGTACCCAGAGATTTGGTTGATCTATTTAGGAATATTTTCAATTTTTGGTACTTATTAAGTACAAGGAAGTTTAAAAACAGAAAAATACCAACATGGTTAAACCAACTGTACCAGGAAAAATAAAAAAAAACTTTTAGATTGTAAAATCATGTTTTGTTTAAAAGACAATTAAGTTGGTATGTTGGAGACATTAAAATGGGCAGACAAACAAGGTAAATAAAGGTTGTGTATTGTCTTATAAGTCAGGTAGAAACTGTCATTAGGATTATGTTTGCTGCAGTTGTATATGGTGTACTTTATATTTACCAATTATTCACCAACATTGAGCTGTATAGTTGTAATGTTTTATATCACAAAGATACCAAAATATCAGTTTATTTCTTTCCTTTACGAAAAAAAATGGTCAGAAATTTTACTCCTTATGCCCAATTTTGTCTCATCTTCAGCTTGGAGGTGAAAAGTGCTTGTTATTCACTTCCAAACTAGCCAATCAAGGTGTTCGAAAAGCGTTATTTATTAGTGTGGTATCTACTAATACTCATGACACTGCATATGCCCATGTTTGTAGAACCTTGCTATCTCCTCTGCTGCATCTCAATACATCCGTTAGTGGTGCAGAGTGGTCTGGTCAAGCATCAGTAGTACAACCCTCCTCCCCTTTCCTGCCCAATGCATTTGGCACTTGACAATCCTTTATTCATGGGGACTTTATTTAATCAGCAGCAGAAGGAAACCTGGCTGTCAATCATGCAATCATGTAACACAACCTGCAGCGAAAGTCAGGTAAAGAAGCCATTCTCAATCGATTACCAACGGTATTATTTTTTTCCGCACGGTTCTAATAACGTAAGGGAGGAGGGGGGTGGGCAAACACATAGTGTGGAATGACGAGAAGGGGCTGGGTCACACTTCACGCCAGAGAAACAACCTCTCGTCCGCTTCTTGTTGCATATTGAAGAGGTGTCGCTCTTTGATGAGGGAGGAACAGTCGGTTAATAGTCTTTTCGCAAGGAAGCCCTTCGGAGATATGTTGACCTCTGGATTTGACCGTTAAGATTCTCAATAAACCATTATACTCTGGTTCGTTTTCGTCTTACGGGTGAAAGAAAAATCTCGGTTATTTACTTGGAAGGTATCTAATGATCTAATGACATGTAGAAATAAGACGATTGATGATAGATCTAACTTATAAGCCAAAGCTGCGCAGAATATTTTTAACAAGGTTAAAGTAGGCTTAAGTTCTGTTCTTGTAGAACGCTTTTCCAAAACCATTGAGCTCTTTCTCGTATTGGATATTTTCCTCTGTTAACAACTCTTTAAGTCGAGCACGGCGAATCTGTGGAAGAGAAGAGATACATCAAACATTCAAACAAAGAAGCGAAATGACTGAATCAGCGAAAAATAAGTAAACGAGACGAGAAGTTTAAAATAATCACGGCAGAGGGCTGGAGCTCATTCACCAGAAGCAGCTTTACTATTTGAATATAGGTATGCATATTGTGCATTCCGTGCTCTAGGAGATTTCTATGGTACTATAAGGATAATTTGTCTACGAACCAAGAGCTTTTTAAGTTGGTGATTATTTAACTAACCATTCTAAGGGGTTAACTGGTTTAAAAAGGACCACACGTATCGTGAAACACATTCTATATGTTTCAGTAGCATACTTTTCGGAAAACGAAAAAGCAAGAAATCGTTAATTTGGCGACAGGATATGAGCGAGAAAGGAATTTCTTTTTCTTGCAGTTCATGCAACAATGTAGAAACATACTTTTATGAATTGTTCGTTGGCCATCTTTTGTTCATCGTCGGCAAGTTCTTTTTCCCTTTTCTGGCGCCGCTTTTCACTGTCCTACAACAGATCACGTCAGTTAAGGTAAGTGTCTCAATAGGGTGATGGCTTGTACGGCTAACGGTTATCCCCATTGAAACCCTACTGATAAATTTATATATTCAAAATTTTCACTTTAAAGATTCTTTTTGGCGAAGTGACCATAAATCTCAATTCAGTACAACTCGTTTTGTTAGAAAATTTATCCACTCATTGTTATCTTTGGACCCTGATCCCTTACATGCCGTACGGCTCAGGGCTACAGCTTCTCTCCTAAAAACCAAAACAGGCTACTCGTTATCATATAAGGATAATAAGTTTACGTTCCTTTGAGCGGATGGTTTAGGCAGGAACTTACTGAAACACATAAAAACAAGAAAAAAACTAGTTATTACCCACTAGCATTCTAAAAGTTGTTTTAACCAATTTCGTTTTAGTCCAATTTTGGATTATTGTGGTGCTGTTTTCCATGGATGTGGTAGAGGGAATGAAGAAAGCCTAGAATGCCTAGAATGCCTATAAAGACGAGGTGGTAGAATAGTCTTGAATACTGCACAACGTTCGCAAACATTATGAAAAAAATAATAAAAGGATTAAAATATTGTCCCTGGAGCCATACAGCTACGTTAGTGTGACTTCGAGTCCCTTTATATCCAGTTGAGCCAGTAGAAACAATTAAGCCTCGTGGCATTAGGCGGAGACATCCGCGTCCGGTTGTTACATTCGGGGGGTGGAGACACGGGGGGATTTGAGCGCCGTCGAGGCTCCAATGTTTTCCTCTTGTCTAGCTCTGCTTTTTACTGCTGTTTCAATCTCACTGTTCTTGGTAATTGTTTCATGTTTTGAACTATCTGCTCATTAGCTGACGAGCACATAAATTCAAGTACCTGTTTTATGATTTTCTCGTGAAATAAAGGAGTTTGGATGTGGACAGTGTCTGTGAACACTCGAAAATCTTTTAAAATCAATTACCTTTGGCTTACGCCTGGTTTAGTAACTTTTCTCGTGTTCTCAAAACATCTTGCGTGGGTTATTACAATGGCAAACGGAAAGAAAGTGCGGTCTATTGCTTAAAGAGATACTCGAGAGTCGAATTCCTCTTTTCATCGCGAGGCCCATACATGCACGCGCAGTAAATCGTTTATGTGCTGGTACGTCATGAAAATACGTTTGTTACGCATGCACGACGGATTCAGCACTGAGTAAAACGAATGAGCATGGCTGATGATTTACACAGAGCGTCGCTCCTTTTCCAGCTCTTTCTTCACGGCCTGTGGATGAACACAGTTCAGAGCGCAAATAATTGGATCAGAGCTCACCCTTTGAAGAAAAACAAAGTTGAAAACCTAAAGGGTACTTACTTCTCGGAAAGAAATACTTTCTTCGATTTCAGCGACTTGGAAATCGGCAAAGACAATTGTGAGATCTCTTGTGGCAACCCTCAAAGCGAAGGAGTGCAAGACCCGAAAGACGGTGCCGCAAAAGAGTTTCCCAAAAAGAAAAAAGGAATGATGTTCAGGAAATATAAGGTCAATTTTGAGGTGAATGACAGACACGCTTGGGACGAAGACATCAAAGGAAAGGATACAAAGCAAAGACGATCTCGAACACTGAGACTCTTCGGGTCCCGATCGACCAAAGGTTCAAATGTAAATGACGATTTCACCAGGCCGCTTCTGCAAAATTGATGTAAACAAGCTTTCTTCTCTTCCTCCAGTGGTGAGCAAGCAATACCACCAAAACTGAATTTTTACGACCAGAAACACAGTCCGACGATACCTTTAATCCATCCCTGTTGAGTTCACCTACGATCTACTTGTAACCACCAAACTTAAAGTCAACTTCATTTCAGCTTATGATACCCCCCATGAATGTACCCTCCATAACTTGTAATGACGCAAAACAAACCCTGTCTACAGATTCAAATGAAGTTTGAACAAAGTTTTGAACAAATAAAAGCAGAAAGTATGCACTGAAGAAGTGTGACCGAAATATTAAATAAAATGCTGTCCTCAAAGCCCTGTGCCAATGGAGGCAAAGAGCTGTTAACGTTTCATTTAAGGGCCGAGGAAGCCAAAGGCTAGAACAATACCGGTCTTCCTTTCGGTGTCCACTAGTGACAGTGCAGTTTTTTTGTAACGGGGCGAAAAGTTACCTCAGCTACTTGAAAAAGATGAAAGTGTGCCACTGATCGATAATTACATGTTACTACTTTTTCACTGTTAACTAAGATTTGACTTAAGGCCAGCTATTTCATTTCTGACATTAAAACTTCTTGAACAATATAATATGGCCCAAAATTTCCTTCATCGTTTTATTTCCCCAAAACACGTAATTTTTTAAGAACAGATTTTCTGAAGTAACAAATCTGGAAGAAAGTCAAACTTTGCTATGATATAATTGATAATGTAAAAGCAAAAAACCGTAAAAGTCACCAATCGGTAGACTATCAACGAAGACTTAAGGCTCAATCAACGGTTTCAATGATTCGATCGGCTATCACGAATTGTGTTTATTTCAGTTTATTCAAAACATTTTCATTTTTTCAGTCAACCTGTTGCTTAACAGTAAAAAATGAGTGTGGTAGCGTCTACTTTTCCAGTTATAGGTGGTGAACGGCGCTCTAATATTATGATAACTTGCGCAAACAGCAACACATATATCTCAAATGGTCAACTAAGCTATTAAAAAAGTCGACGAGTTTTTGATAGAAGAAAACTTGTCAGCAGTATTTACGATCTCAATATAATAGTGCCACACCAAAAAGATCCATGGTAATTTCCATGTAATACTTTTTCACGCATACAAAATAATATGAATCATTATTGAACAAATTAAACGGGTACATGGAAACTTCCATGTGATAGCCGTTTACACGTTAAAATAATAGAATCAAACGCTCTTGGCCAAGAGTGTTTTGGCCAATGTTTGATGATCAAACATTCTTAATCAAAACGGGTACTTGGAAATATCCATGTAATACTCATTTACGCGTACAAAAAGTAGCTTCGAACATTCTTGTACAATTTAAACGCGGGTACATGGAAATTTGTATGTAGTATACTTTTACGATTTCAATGTGATAGCGCCTCACCAAAACGATCCATGGAAATTTCCACGTAATACTCATTTACGTATACAAAGCAGTATCAAACATCTCTAACCCAAAACGGATACATGGAAATATCTATGTAATACTATTCATGCAAGAAAGAAAAAAAAACCACCTTTTTTCGGCTAAAATGGGTGTATTGAATTTTCTATTTAATACTGACTCATGCGGAAAAAAAAGCGCGTAAGGAATTCTTTTCCAAAACGGGTTTATGGAAATTTCCATGTAATAGTCATTCAAGTTTTCAAAATATCAGAGAATAGTCTTGTCAAAAACAGGGCCATTGAAATTTCCATGAAATACTCGATCAAATCTACGAAATAATTACATACATTTTGGGCTAAGCTGGG